AACACATTTGTGCAACTTATTAGCATTCATTTCTGATTTTACTGCTGTAATTTCTGGGGTATATATTGGGTATTGTGTGTACTAGATTTTAGAACAAATTCTAGAATGTACTGATAACTTTATTTGCATCCAACAGGGTATTTCCTCGGTGGGGTAAGCAGGAGGATTAAAAGCTACTAAATTCCAGGAACGACATTAACGATTTACATTAACATATAAATTTTACCAGTTCTCAAGTTCTTACAAGCAGCAAAATCATTTCGCTGTCTCTAGTTCTACACACATCAGAAGAGTTCAACGAAATCGCTTTAAACACTATCTCTACTTTGAAAAGTGGAGGAGTAGTAATGTAGAACTTGCGGTAAAGTGAAGCATTTCAATTACTGTTCTTTCCTCTCAGAATCACCCATATTAATCACCACTAAAACATCTTGCAGAATTTGATGAAGGGCACAAAGCTGGAGCTTTCCTTCCAAACACCAAATTACTCAGCAATTGTTTGTACCTCTGTTGTCGGTTGTGTACAGTACATCTATGTTCCGTTACCCTTTTAGACCACATCAAGGTCCTTAATGGTAAGGCCCTTGTCTTCGATTTCCTTTGCCTCATGGTAAGGTGCTATTTTAGTAAAACACTGTTGATCTAGAGTACATTAGCTAAAGGACTTCCTTAAGTAAATATTCAATCTTTCCTCCACTCCTTTCTGGGCAAGGAAAAGTGGACGGCAAATAAGAGTTCCAACTACCTCTGAAAGGAATAGGTAAGTTAGCAGGGAGGAGGGGGGGGAGGAGGGGGAGAAGGGGGCGGCGGCGGAGGAGGCAGCAGCAGCAGCAGCAGAAGAAAAAAACCTGGGAAGTGCAATTTCTCCCTACCGCTCCTTTAATCTAGGGTCCCCGAGGCCAAAACGAACGTTCGAAAGGTAAGCTCAGAACCCCACGAATGCAAATGTCTGGCTCTCTGGTATGTTACGCTGTCCTAGTGGAAGCCAGGAAAGAAGGATCCAAGACAGCCTCTAGGGAGGGCCATTCACTAGGGAAAGGGGAGGGTGATTCTCGAGGTGGGCGCTTTATCCTCCTCCAACGCACCCGACCCTAAGAAGCCCCAGGACTGGGTTCAGAAGTGCTCCAGTGAGACAGGGAGGAACAGCGGTGGCAGACACAGCAGGGGCTGGGAGGGGAGAAGGGGAAGGGGCAGGAAAAGACACAGGACTGGAATGCCTGGCTTCTGGGCCATAGCCCAGTTACTCACCCTACTGGGTAGCCGCCCCCTAGGTGCACATCTTCAGGGGCATCATAGAATTCCTCGGTGTCGCTTTCTGACGCCATTTAGAGGACACACCCGAGGTGAGGGGGCAGGCGCCGCCTGGAGGAAGGGTGACTCTCCCGACTCCTCTTCGTAGTCCTCCACTCCGGCGAGACTATGGGGAGGTGGGTCCCAGGCGAGGCTGAAGAAGGAGAAGTGGAGAGCTAGTTAGGGACAGGGGGCCGCTCTCGGTTGAGGGGGCCGAGGGGAATGACCGGTAGAGTGGACGCCCGAAAAAGCGGCAGTGGGTCCAGGGACTGTTGCTGCCGCTCTCAGCGATAGGTGTATAAGGAGCGTGAGAGAAGAGGCTATGGCTCTTCTCAGTGGGGGAGGGCGGGCGTACCGGCGACAGCAGCTCCAGTTTTTCCTGCAGCAGCGATTACAGCAGCTGGGAGAGCGAGTTGCCCGCAAAATACCGACGCTCATCTACCCTCGCGAGATTTGGGTGGGGGGGGCGGTTGAAGCGTGGGCGGGGAGAAGAGGTTGCGGGGGCGGTACCAGAGAAGCAGCGCTCTGATTACTTATGCTCCAGAAGCCTATCGAAACGGCGCAAGCGCGTCGGGAGCCTTCGGCTGGGCCGGAAGTAGCGGAGAAGGGAGGGGGTGAGCCCCCGGAGGGGAGGAGTCTGGGTCCTAAACTGGAGCAGCTTTGATGCCAGACCGCGCGCACCACACGTAGGTGGGGTCCGGAGTAAGTGTTTCCCTTACTAACTCAAAACTCTGCAGTTGCAGAGAGGCCTTTTGAGACGGATGATTGTAGAATCTGATTTTTTTTTTTTCTTTTAAGGAAATGTCCGGAAACGTTAGTGTGGGCAGTTTTGGTTTGTATTTTCTTTATCAGATCCTGGAATAACTCACCCTAGTTGCATCGGAGGTCCACCCCTCATTTGTAGGAAAACTGATGCACTTCAAGACCATAATCTTAAGTGAAATGAATTGGGCATACAAATTTAAATACCACATTGTTTCTCTTGTATGAGAATCCCAAGGGGTAAATAAGAAACATAATGGAGGATAGATATTGGGAAGTAGAAAGAACATGCTCAAAAGAGAAGGGGAACAAGGAAGGAGGGAGGGAGAGGGAAGGAAGGGAAAAGGAAAAAAAGAATGAAAGGAAAAAATGGAAACAAAGCTTTTGTAAATGGGGAGGGAAGAAGGATTGAAGGGAGAGAAATGGGAAAAATGAAGAATTCAGACATATTATGTACAGGTACAAATTCCCTATGGTGAATGTGATCAATGGGTATGACAAATATGTACTAATACAAAATAAAGTTAAATAAAAATTTAAAAAGAAATATGCACAGAGGTTTCATGCTCAGTAAAAGAAAATAGAAAGGTACTTTTTATTTTTTTATTGTTATTTTTATTGTACATGTATTCAGTACGTAATGATTACATTCGTTGCAGGAAGTTGGTACATGCACATAGCATATCTAAATTATTTTTACATCCCCATCCCCTCCATAGTCTGTCTTAATGGATCACTGACCATCAAAGCGATACCATTAACTTTCAGTATGACCATGAGGCATATTTATTTCTCTCACTGATTTCCTACTAGGCTCATGGAGCTGTTTGTGCAGCCTCAACTATGGTATAGTCAAGATGGCCACAGGAAAGACTGGACTGAGGCCAGAGGGATAGCCTCAGAGAGGCTAGAATGGGATTCTAGAGTTCTGCTCAAGGGAACTGGACAAGGTCTGATGTGGTCTGTTGGATTCAAGTATATTCAAATGCCATATACTATATATTATCCAACATCCCCAAGGGTTTAAGAAAAACACTGTATAATCAAATGTGTTCATAGATCAACTTGATTGTAAACTTCCTTGAAAAACAGAAACTTAGCCTGCTATGGTGGTGCACACTTGTAATCCCAGTGCTTGGGAGGGTGAAGCAGGAAGATCATGAATTTGAGACCAGCCTGGGGTACACAGCGAGACCCTGCCTCAAAACCAAAAAAACCCCTTGGTTTTAGGGCTTTTTGGATTTCAAAAGTAGTGCGATAAGGGATTTGTGGATTTTTGTGACAATATGACTGTTGTCAAAAGCTAATAATTATGAGGTTAGGTTTTATATATTTTAAGAATGTTAATTAAAAGAATAGATTTTTAACATCTTCAGAAAAAATGGTAAGTTGTGAGGTGAGTTATGTTAATTAGCTTGATCAAATCTTTCTGTAATGAATACATAGATTAACACATCATACCGTGCCCCTAAAATATATACAATTATGATTTGTTTATTAAAATAAGTTAATAAATACATGTTAATTAATTTCCTACATAAAAAAATGTATCTCAGAGCCAGGCATGGTGGCGCACACCTGTCATCCCAGTATTTGGGAGGCTGAGGCAGGAGAATCACTGCTGAGGGTTTGAGGCCAGCCTGGACTACATAGCAAGATTCTGTCTAAAAAAAAATTTCAGAGTGCTTTTCTTGCTCACTAAGGAAGACAGACTTTTTAGAAATGAATTGTTGAAAATGTAGATATATTTTATATTTGTGTGATGATATAACATCATCTAGAATATATAACTACCTGAATTTATTTTCTCCCTAATTATTTAATGATGCATTTATAATTTCCTTACAAGTAGGTTTTTTTGTTGTTGCTTTTTGTTTTTGGTAGTACTAGGAATGGGACCTTGGCACTGATTTGTATCCCCAGCCCTTTTATAGTTTTCATTTTTTGAGACAAGGTCTTGATAAGTCACTAAGTTGCCCAGGCTAGGCTTTAATTTATGATCTTCCTACCTCAGCCTCCTAGAGTTTGGGGATTAGAGGTTTAAAAGTAGTTTTCTAAGCTGAATATAGTAGTATATGCCTGTAATCCCAGCTACTTGTGAGGCTGAGACAGGAAGATCTTAAGACTTTAAGGCCATCCTGGACAACATAAGAAGATTCTGTTCTAAGAAAAACAAAGAAAAAAGACAACCTAAAAAATGCATTAAAATTAGTTTTCTGTATAGGTATTAACCCCTTTGTATATTAAAAAAATGTTTTTTAAAAGTGCCACATACAGAAACCACTCTTTCAGTTCCATGAATATGTACTACTGTATTTGATGTCATGAACTATTATAGGTGCTGAGGACAATTCAAAGATGAAAAAGACAACTTAGTTCCTGCCTTCCAAGAGCTCACAATTTAGCAATGGAAAAAAATATAGAGACTCCTACTTTGAAGCTTTATTCATACATTAACACTTCTCTTGGACCTTTTAAGGTGACTTAAATATTATACTTAGAAAAAGTGAAAATGAGGCAGGTGTAATCTTACCTACTCAGGAGATAGGAAGACCACAAGTTTGAGTCCAGCAAAAGACCCTGTGTTGTGGCTTGTGTTTAGATGTCCCCCCAAGCCCTCATGCTTTTTCACAGGTTGCTGAATCTGGTGTTATTGATTCTTGGTGGGGCTAGGTCTGAGGGCACTAGGATTAAGCGTGTGAGTGCCACGGGCCCTAAGTAGTCTGAATAAGATAAAGGGGCAGAAAGATGCTGTTAAGTCCCTTGCTGTTTTTGCTACCTTGTGTTCAAGTTGCTTCTCCTCTGTGAGGCCTGTCTGCCATCCACCTTGCCTTGGAGCCAGCCAATTATGGACTGAAACCTCTACAAACTGTGGGCTAAATAAACCTTTCCCCCTTTAACTTTGGGTGCCAGGTATTTTGTCTCAGCAACCAGAAAAATAACTAAGACACCTTGTCTCAAAATAAAATAATAAAAAGGGCTGGAATGTAGCTCAGTATGAGGGCTTGCGTTGTCTGCAGTACTGTAAAACAGCAAGTAAACAAAAAGTCAAAATGGAATAGAAATGATAAGCTAATAACATATTTAAAGTTATTAGAATTGTCTAAAGTATTTTATCAGTTCCATGAAAAAATTAATTGCCAGTAATACTGAAGCATGTATACATACTGTTCATCATCATTTTTAGAGATATCAGAAGGTGTTTATTTTGCCTGGAACATCTGTTCTAGAGCTGTAAAGCATCAGGTTTTAGATGTAGTCCAAGCAGTGGTTTTGAAGCTTTTCTTCATATTAGAAATGGAGCCTTTTAATTAAAGCTAATTTTGTGCAAAAGCTCACATATCATAAAAAATAAAAAGTCTCTATTTGAAGTGGTGGTACTAGAGTTCAGATCCCTGAATGCTTGGCCTTCCCTGAGTGTCCAATGGCAGCCCTAAGTTTCTATAAAACAAATAACAAAAGAAATGGAAAATTATTACTATAGAGCAGAAGACAGCAAATTATGCCCCACACTGTTTTTGTAAATAGTGTCTAATTGGAACACAACCAGGCCTATTTGTTAGTATGTTGTATATAGACTGTTTTCACGGCAAAGTTGAGTTGCTGGAAAAGACTATATGGCCTGCAAAGCATAAAATATTTACTATCAGGCTCTTTACAGAACATTTTTGCTAACCCTTGGTCCATGAGATACTATTTTCTAGGGTGTCCCAGAATGGAAAATTTCCTCAAATTAGATGGTTATTTCAGTTAGTTTCACAACAGGATTATATGATTCTACAAAATCGTACATGTAGACAAAAATAGTGTTAAAACCTTTCCTCACTTGTCTCATTCCCAATGACTATAAAAACTATACAAGTCTAAGGCTAAGGTGGGTTTAAGGAAAATTTTTATGTGTGGCTAATTTCCTTAACTATGTAACAAAATCTCTATTCTCCAGAGACAGACGTCACAGACAACATACAGAACAACTTGTCTGCAGTGGTTGCTCTCTGATCTTGGCAAGAACAGTACAAACTGTCTGTATCCTGCCTGTATCCTGCGGCTAGTTTTCTCCAAACCCTAAGGCTATCACTCAGAACATCGGTTATCTAAGTACTTAAAATACATGTAGCCATTTGTTACAAACAAGACCAAAAGTGATAACTCAGAAAAAGAAATTTATGTTCAGGGTTAAGTGATTTAAGACAATATGACATGAAAAGATTTAATGTTAGTATTTCTGCAAGTGTTTTTATGGATTTTGAAGGATCAGAAACTATGAAAAAATTCTGAAACTGCCAAAATTTGTCAGGGCCAAAATAACATTTAAAATCATCAACCCTCAATTATCTGCTTCAAAGGTCAGATCTGAGCTTGGTGGTGCATGTCTGTAATCCCAGCACTGAGGAGGTTGAGGCAGGAGGATGAATTTTTGAGGCCAGCCTGGAGTACATAGTGAGACTGTTTCAACCTTCCTCAAATCAAAGGTCAGTTGTGTTGTAGATTATATTAGTAAATACTGAACTGTATTTAAAAATTGTTTCTATTTGGTTTTGGAATCTTTATATCTTTTATAACTTTTTCAACCAGTCTACTTTCCAAATGATGGTTAGTAATGTGAATATTAAAATGAGCTTTTAATTCCTGAGCATACAAGAACTGAAAAGTAATGTAGAAATGTATTAAGCGATACAGAGAAGCCAGGCTGTGGTGTAAAATATGTTATTATTAAATAATGGAATATATGTAGTCATGCACTGTTGTTCAAGACTGGAAGAAAGCTAACTGGATTTATCTTAAAAAGAAAAAAGGGATCTATTATCTTGCATAATCAAATACAGACTTCTCTTACATTTGGTCTGTTGTGATTATTATATTACAGAATAATTTGAGCATAAAATTTGCTTATGCACGATTTCATCAGCCAGAACCACTAGGTGAAAGCAAAAACTACACTCAACTGAATCAAGCCATGTAGGAATATATAAAATGCAAACATACATACCTCATATACTTATCAGTTATCTCAGTTCATTGTGTATTTTAAGTCCCACCTGTCCGAAAGAAGAGTTATTTACAACTTTCAGTCTGGTTTAAGATAACCCTCTTAGCTTAGTTATTACTTCATAATAACTCACAAACTGCAGCCCTTCTCATATCCACTTCCACAAGTAAACTTCAGGTCTTTTTCAAAATAAAGTACCACATTAATTATATTATTTATATATTTTTTAACCATTTAGCATGTGTAAAGCCATGCTATCTTTTTATTAGCTTCATATCTTTTTTTTGGTATAGTGCATTTAACTGATGAAGTTTTTTCCCCATAAGCCTTGTGATTTTTATTGAATAATTTTGCACAGTGGAGTGATTTTGAGGGAAAGTATGTGTCACCTTATAGTGAAGCCAGAGTGTAGTACAGATGAAGTAGCCTTAGACATGGCTGCATTCAGGGGCCAAGATATGTCAACACTCTTGTTTCTGTCTGTCTCTCTTTTTAAATCTCTGTGTGCTTTGGCTAAAATTTTCCTATTGCAGACAACTTTGTTCTTGTAGTTAGTAAAGATGCCTGCAAGCAAGTTCAGCTTATGATGTCTGTTTTAGCTCATGGCTTGTAGAGGTTTTAGTCCATAGTTGGCTGGCTTCAAGGCAGGGTGATGTGGCAGAGGAGAAATAGTACATGGCATGGCAGGCAGTAGGCATGGCAGGATGAAGGGAGGAGGAGGGATGTATACTGTTCTAGGCCGTACAGTTACCCACCTCATCCCAGCAGGCTTCAACTCCCAATATCACACCCAACTCTAAACCTATCAGTGGACTAATCCAGATCACACACCCAAGATCAAGTATCACACACCCATGATCCAGGCACTTCTCAAAAGCCCCACGTATGGGCACATGAGGCTTTGGGGGGACATCTAGATACAAGCCACAACAATGCCTTAACTCTCAACCTGAAGGAAGCAAGACTTTCTCTCTCCCAGTGCTTTTCATATATTAAATCTCAGGGAAGATGTTGATTGGTTTTAAGAAGCCTCTCTGACTAGGGGCTTAGAGAGGTCTCATTTGTCACTCCCGAGTCAGCTAATTCCTTGCCACACAACAATCAGGGAATCAGGGAGAGACTGTTGTGATTATCTTCTTCGTGATTATCTTAGACTGCATGGGATATTCATTGAGTATTTTTTCTAAGGAAAGGTTGCACACAGACAGGAACAATATGCTTACTGTAAGTTATTAAGAGTTAAGTTCCTATCTTCATGCTTCAGAAGAGCTTATTGTGTGTTAAATAAAAATGTTATGGAATACTGTATATATAATAATCCCATTTATGTAAAATCATGAATCAATGTATCTGTGTATGTATATGTTTAGTTACGTGTATAGAGAATTCTGGGAGAATATTCACAAAGGATTGATGGTGACTGACTTTGGTTGCTGATTAAAAAAACAGTAACAAGAGATTTGTGCCTTATTTGTACATTTATGGAATGATTGGATTTCTACAGTGACTATGTAATATTTTATAAACAAGGAGAAAAATATTAAAAGAAAATATATAACCTGTCACTTATAAGGTAGAATTACATAAAAATTAAGACCTTAGATTTGTTTCCAGTGAAACACATGCCTACAATTTCTGGACCTATTCTGCGTACCATATTATACTTTTTTCAATAAATGTTGCCAAGAGACTAAACTTGGAAAAAATACCCACAAGCAAATCTTGAAATGTAACTAGTCTACCAGTAAAATGCAGTGCAGGTCTGACATATACAAAGAAAAAATAATAGTTCTAAAGAACAATGAAATGATGGACTGATGCAGAGTTCTAAAAGGAAGACATAATATTAGAGATAAACTTATAATATAGACCAAGCATAATTTTACTTTTCAAAACAGTAAAAAGTATATATAGCCAGATATAAAGGAAGATAAAGACATGAACTTTATGCTTCAGAAATCACTCCAGGTCATAAACTGCAGAAGACTTCTTTTGTAGCTCTCCTTCCTCCATATGGCATCTTTATATGTATTTTTAATTGCTGAAACTTAATATAATGCCAAACATTTATGTAGAAATATCAATCAGCAGGCTGATACACATACACATACATGTTGAACAGCAACAACTAGAATTGCATGGCACTATAGAATAAGTGTTTATGTCCTTAAAATTCATATTTGGAAATCTAATCCCCAGTGTGATGATATTTGGAGGTGGAAGGAACTTTAAAGGGCACTAGTCCAAGCCTCATATCTCATGCATGAATTCCTTCTACAAATGTCTCTGATAAATGGTTGTTCAAGGACATGGAACTTACTATTTACCCAATCAATCTTTGGATAACTTCAAATGTTAAACAATGTCTTCATTTTATTTAGTGTAAGTCTACATTTCTGTAACTTCTGTCCACTGGTTATAATTATGGTTACTTAGTCCATACAAAACCTTTCATCTATTTAAAGATGATCGTCCTAGTCTGTTTTGTGCTGCTATAATAGAATACCTGAGACTGGGTACTTTTTAAAGTATATTTATTACTTATAGCTTTAGAGGCTACATGTCCAAGACTGAGGGTCCCACATTTGAGGGGGGCTTTGTGTTGCATCATCCTATGGGAGAGAGAAGAAGGACATGAGAGAGGGAAACAAAAAGGGACCACACATGTTTTTATAATAAACCACTCCCTCAATAACTGATCCAATCCGTGATAATAACATTAATCTATTTATGAGGGCAGCACCCCCATAACCTAATCACCTCTTATTAGACCCCACCTCTCAACACTGCTGCATTGGGGATTGTTTCCAACACATGAACATTGGGGGACACATTTCAAACCATAGCAGTGATTATCAGTTTTCTTTATGTTTTATCTTGGGCATATACACTGATAAGTTTACATTGAATGGGATCAGGGACAGACTTAAATGGGAATTTCAACCACAAAATTAAGATAGTATATTAAATATATAATAATGTGTGTGTACTAAACATATCCAACACATACATAGAGTACTTGCTTGGTTAATGGTATGTTTTGTGTGTACCTAATGTAAATATATTATATTAGAATAGTGCTTCAAACTTTCCTAGACAATTTCATCTATTATGTCATTCAATAACATAATAGTACTATCATTAAATTAGTGCTCCCTAGGTAGCAGGCACTATATTGAGTACTTCATATATAGTATTTCACTTCATATATTATTAGATGAAGATTGTTATTACCACCATTTTATAAGTAAGGAAACTGAGGTTTAGAAGAGTTAAATAACTTGCCCAGAGTTTCACAGCTAGTATTTAGTGGTCACGATTTGAGCCCAAATCAGTCTGAATCCAGACCCTGAACTCTGAAGAACTTTAGGATAGGAAAGATCATGTTACTATCTTTACTTCATAACTGTGAAATTTGAGATAGAGTCATGATATACCTAAGTTCACATTTGAATTTATTTCATCCTTTCCTTAGTTTACTGTAGATTTATTAGCTTGTAGCAAATGAGCCATGTTAATGAATAAAGTACTGTATCTGAAATATAAGTAAAAATTAAAGCATTTGGTTCATTTTTTTCAGTTTTAATTTTTTGTGATATGCTTTGTTTATATTGGTACCTCTCAATGGGAGGTTGTGGTAGGCAGAGTTCTAAGATAGCCATCAAGGTTCCCACCTCATGAATACTCACCTCTTAGTTATTCAATCCAGCACTGATCTAGATACTGCTATGAAGGGATTTTACAGATGTAATTGAAATCCCAAATCAGTTGACTTTAAGATTAGGGAGATTATACAAATGGATCTGACTTAATCACATGAGCTCTTTGAAAGCAGTTTTCTCTGGCTAGTGGAAAAGAGGAAGTTATAGAAATGTACTCTGGCTGGCCTGAAATAAATCAAACATCTATGCTGTGAACTGCCTATGGGGCTGCACAGTGTAGATTGTGGACAGCCTTAAGGAGCTGACAGTGGCTCATGGCCATCAAGGAAATAGGGGCCTTAGTCCTGTAACTGCAGGAAATTGAATTCTGTCAACAGTCTAGAAGAGGTCCTCGAGCTCTGGATGAGAATGAAGTTTAGTGTACATCTTGATTTCAGCCTTATGAGACCCTAAGCAGAGAGCTCAGCCGCAATGTACCCAGACTTCTGACTTGCAGAACTGTGCATTAATAAAGTGCCATTGTTTTAAACCACTAACCTTGTAGTGATTTGTTATGAATCAGTAGAAAACGACTAACAGGGTAAATATTCCTATCCTCCTGATTAAAAAACACCAACAGAGGAAGGTCATGATAAAAGCAAATGTACTACATCAACAGGGTCTATGGACTTTCTGGAGAAGTCCTTGAATGTGTGATTAAATGTAACACTGGAGTGCAAAGTGTAATGTAATAAACCAGGAAAATAGTGTATTTAGAAGAAAGTAGCATACATTTAAAATACAAAAGAAGTGTCTAGTTTCACACACACTCACTGCACCT